TCTTACCTACTTTTGCAGCCTCAGAAGATAAAAGCTAAGTTTATTTTATTTGGCCAGGAGCCATCAACGTTTTCTATCCTGTGGTGTTTGCCATCTTGCCAGCTCAGTTTTTATTTAAACAGTCTAGTTGTCAATCAGTTCCAAGAACCAAACAGTAATCATGCTTGTTGAAGTCTTATGGCCACAATAGTGGTTATTATAATTGGGTAAAGATGTGTTTCATAGAACTGGAAGGGGCCTCTAGAAGTCATCTAGTCCCCTGCTCTTACAGCAGAACAAAGCCCATTACCTCTTGTCCTATCATAAGAGGTTAAGGGGAAATTTTTTTCTCCCTTCTTATAGCAACTTATTAGGTACTTGTAAGCTCTTACCATGTCCCCTCTGTCTTCTCTTTTTCAAACTAAACAAACCCAGTTCTTTCAGTTTTCCCTCACTGGTCATGATTTCTAGACCTTACATCATTGGACCTTCTCCAGTTTCTCCACATCTTTGAAATGTGGTGCCCAGAACTGGACACACTACGCCAGTTGAGGCCTAATCCACGCAGAAGAAGAGTGGAAGAATTACTTCTCATTCTTGCTTACAACACTCCTGTTAATACATCCCAAAATAATGTTTGCTTTTATGCAACAGTGTCACACTGTTGACTCATATTCAGCTTGTGGTCCATTATGACCCCTAGATCGCTTTCTGCAGTACAGTCATTGTGGAGGTTCTGGAAATACTGAAAAAAAGGTGGAAGCTAACTGGGGTAGGCAAGTGCTTTAAGTTTTTAGAATCCCAGGTCTGTGAATATTTAGCTAGGGAAGCATTGTGGACTTTCATCTCCATAAAGCTAGTGTCAGAAAGACAAATCTTTAGGGATGAATTGCATGGAAGTCAAGTGCTGCTGCCAGAATGTCTGCAATCTTTTAAGGCAATAGTAGTATTTCTAAAAGTGGATCACACTGTTTTAAGTGGGTGAAGGTAACTCATGGCTTCTGGACACCATACATAGTAATTATATTGTATTAATTATGATTCTGTAACAGAAAAATGTACTAATATAGTCACACGGAGATGTCTTCAGTAAAGATGACAGATTGCTTCTCTTTATTCTTAATGTGTAAATTCATTACCAATCTGAACACTGGAACAACATTTTAGAGCATATTTCCTTAAGATGAACTTTTTAAAGACAGGTTATTGGTCAACTTAATAGCAAGAGATCCAAAAGACAAGAAAATACAGAGGATATATTATTTACGTAAGTTAAGAAAGGAGAGTCATTGTAACTAGCAGCTCATGAACTTTGATATTATAAAATCGCAATAAATCTTGGGTTTGATACAAAAATTGAAGTAATTGAAGTAAGCTTTCAGTTCTGTGCTTTCCATACTGTCCAATGTGCAGAGACTCGGTTGCACAACAGATATGAATACTAATGGGAGTTGCATGAGTCAATACCCAGCAGATTTTTTTTCTTGAGCCCAGATCTACTTCCTGGCTTGTCCCAACAGAAGGCAGGGTTTGGCCTCCCCACCACCTGTGAATCTGCTTAGATTTCCGGACACAATGTCAATGATAACACAAGAGCTGGATTCTGTAAATGGGCCCAGAGCCAGTTTAGACAGCTTCAAAAGTTGGTGATGATTTAACATCTCTCCCAAAGAGCTTCAGTGGAATATTGCCTCATAACAGACAACCCTGAGAATGTCAGACCTGTTCTCCAATTTCTACACTGGCTTCCTGTAGAATATGGAGTCAAGTTCAAAGTCTTGTCCTTATTTTCAAGGCACTTTATGGTCTGGGTCCTGCATACCTAAGAGATCACTTCAAACTCTGGGATGAAGAGCCAATGACTCCATTCCTCTGGCACAGTTTAATTGTCTGTCATGGGGGTAAAACTCACCAGTGCAGGAGACAGTTTTCTTGGGAGCTGGTCTGAGACTGTGAAAGGAACTCGCACAGAAGCTAAAGACCATTAAAAACCTCCCATGTGCCAGGCTCACCTCTCAGACCTGCCTTCTCTAAGTGCATAATAGCATGTATGTTTGAAAAACAAAACAAAGCAGCACTAAGCTGCACCCACAGTTCTTCCCTATAAGAGGATGAGAGAGCGAGCCAGTCAAAAAGGACAGGTTAATTAATGTGCTTCTCTAGATGGTGCTCAAATACTGTGGTGATGAAGACAGTATAAGAACCTAACCAGAATAAAATAGTCATTTTCCTTTGGGGACCGAGGTTTGACCAAACCCCTCTCTTCTTGAACCATAATCTAATTTTTAAGCTCCCAGGAGAGAGGCTGACCATACCTCATTCCCCAAAGGAAAATTGTTCTTTCAACTTAAATGTTCTTTTATTTATTAAGTCTAATCTATATCCTCACTATCTTAAATAATGCTTGTTTTTTCTTGATGTTTACACTCTTCAGATATTTAGAGCTTGACCTATGTCATTCCTTAATCTTCTTTGAGTCAAGTTGTGCATCTTTATCTCTCCTAATATTTCCTCTTCTCCTTGATCATTTTCCAGGGTTGTAATTAGGGTCAGGCAAGCAGAGTCACCACCAAGGGCGCAGAACTGCAAGGGAAACAAAAACAGAGTGTTGTGTAGGATTGGGGCCAGCAGCATCAGCTCCCGTTGTCCCACAAGGGATTGGGTGCAGCAGAATCTGCCCTAATCCCAGGCTGCTTAGGACCCGGTTTCCTTCTGGTAGGTTCACTTGATAGAGCAGACTCCCCATGTTGAGGACCCTGGTGGGGGCAGCAGGCGGTCAGAGTGCTAAGTGCTGCTTGGCCCCTCCGTAGCTGAAGCTGCTGCCCTTGCTGAGGATGAAAGGGCAAACTGTGAGGACAGGCAGGATATGAGGGGAGAGTGGAAACTTGATTGGTGGGGTGTCAGATGGTTGGAGGCAGGGGCAGGAGAGGGGCAGAGGAGGAAACCTGGAGGAGAGAGGTAAGACCTGGTGATCAGCCCTTGGCTGAGGCACTGCCATATGGTGGCAGAGGAGGTAACAGTTATCCTGATGGGATGATCCACCTGCCCTGTTTGCAAAAGGGGTTTCCATAATTAGGAGGAAGGCCAAATGAAGATGTCCTGGGTTGCTAGTGATTGACAGTCAGGGAAAGTAAACAGTGCCCAAACGCTACATGCCTTTTTAGTCACTGCTCAGTAAGAGTATGTCTACACAGCAATGTTATTCTAAACTAACTCAGTCTGCATCTACACGGCAGGCAGTTATTCGAAATAATGTTGAAATACGGTCAAGCTGGAGGAAGACTTACTCCGACTCCTGTAAGCCTCATTGCCCGAGGAGTAAGGGAAATTAGAGGAAGAGTGCTCTATTTTGAAATAGGTGCTGTGTAGACGCTCCCAAGTTCAAAATAAGCTATTTTGAAATAAGCTACGCAATTGATGTAACTCAATTTGCATAGTGTATGTCAAGTTAAGCCCTGCTGTGTAGATGCACCCTAAGGGTAAAACATGCCCTGGTCCCTTCTTTAGCTGTGCTTTCCTATTACAGTGACTGACCCTTATTTTTTGTTTCCCCAGCCAGATAAAATTGTTATTACAGAGAACAGAATAAAGAGCCTCCTTCTGATGCATTGTTGTAATGCTCCATTAGCTGGCCAGCATAGTGCACTCACACCTCAGAGAACTGACACCTTCAGGGCAGGCTGGCTGAAGATGCTGACCACACCTTGCCTGTTCTTTTAAAAGGCCACTCATTTTGGGCTAGGGACAATTTTCAGTTGTGCCCGAACAGATGAAAAATACAGGCCATTTCCAGGGGAAGATTCTACTAAGGCAGTGTTTCTTGAACTATGTTCCGTGGCACATGGGTGTGCTGTGGAGAACAGAATTCAAAATGGACACCCTTAAAGGGACAGGCAACTTTTTCTCTAACTTTCTCTCAACCCTTTTTTTTCCCTCTAACTTGCTCCCCGACCTTTCTTCCTCCTTCCCCCGACCCTTTTTTTCCTCAACAAAAAATCCTTGGTGTTCCTCGTAAATATAGATAGATAGCTATATTATTTGATGTTCCTCAGTCTTAAAACATTTAAGAAACACTGCACTAAGGGAAGCTGCACTGGGGGCAGATCGGGTTTGGGGTTGCAGGTGAGAGACTGCTGGCAAAGAAACGTCCAAGTGTGACACTTCTCAGATTCTGCGCTGCAACCCACACAGTCTGTCCTTGACATCTGTCTCTGAGGCTGGGGCCATCACCTCGGTAACATGTTAATCTAGCCACTATGACCAGGGCATTGGCATTGTGTCTCACTGAAGCACAGCAAAATCAGATTTAACAGTCATCACAGCCATATACTTTCTTCTGTCTCCATGCTCAGATGAGTGGGACCTCGCCTAACCAAAGTCATTGGTCATAGAACTATAGGGTTGGAAGGGACTGTATGGGTCATGTAGTCTCACTTCTGCCAAGATGCAGAATGCATTATGCCTCTTATCAGTGATCATAACATAGCATCCCCAACTGAATGCTACTTCCCACACAGGCCTTGTACAAACAAGTTGTGCTGCTATAATCCTTCATCTTTAAAGAGGCATAATCACAATTTCCTTAGCAGGATTCAGGACCAGAAATGATCAGGTATAAGCCCACCATAATATTTTACTAGAAAGCAAATAAATAATAATTAATAATATTCTTAGGATAATATTCTATATGTTATTTGGCGAGGTGGCAGTTTATTCTAGCCATTGTCTCGCTGTGTGTGATGGAAAACCACCAATATTACTTCTTTATAAACTGAACTGCAATTTTACATCTTTCTGAATGTTTCCTGCAGTTGCAATATTTGTATTTGTGTTACAATTATTTTCATTCCATGGTTTTTTTTCCCTCAGTTTATGTAAAGATTATTTCTTTCCTTTCCAAAATAAACGTCACTGGGATCAGCCAGAGTTAAAATAAGTGAAATGGGTCATTTAGAGTACATTTTCCCCATATATTTCTGTTAAGCAGAGAAATATACTAAGTTTTCGTTATGTCTTCCCAGGTATACCTTGAAAGACTGTTAACTTATGCAGAGATAGATATTTGTCCAGCAAACTGGAAGCGAATTGTATTGGGTGCAATTCTACTGGCATCCAAAGTTTGGGACGACCAGGCAGTGTGGAATGTGGATTATTGCCAGATCCTGAAAGATATCACAGTTGAGGACATGTGAGTTCAATATGTTTTTATCTCAGTCTATGGATGCCGAGAATTATTTGTGTATATGTGTTTGGTGTTTCTTATATCCCATAACACACTTATTATGTAAAGTTAGTGCACTCCGGATTATTTCTCAAAACGTATGTTAACAGATTCTGTTGACTTTATTGGAACTGTAAATTCAACTACTCTAGTGGCTGATGGCTCTGTAGGATTATAGCATTTTTGAAATTGTGTGTACTGCAATTTTTGTTTGCAATTTATTGTTGTAGTAAAACAGAATTGTTATAGCACTATTTTTAAAATATGCATTACTGTTGGGGAGTTTGTTGGTGCCTGAGTGACACATAATGGGACCCCTTGGAAGCTTAAAAACTGTTGTTGAATAAAAACAGGACTTGTAAGCCTACAGCTCTTTAGCTGGTCTTTTAAAATAATATTCCCTGTCACTATTGATTCTGCTTGTGGATAATGATCCACAATTTTTGGATTTGTCATACATAATGCTTTCTGTATTACATCAAAGTCCATTCGTTGCCTTTGGCCCACAACCAATATAGCTGTTGCTGTTACTCAGAAGTACTGGCTTTGATGGGTTTGTTCCTTGTTTTGCCACGTTAGCATGCAGGATGTTAAAAATCTCAAAAATAATGTGGAATGAAATTGTCCCACTTTCCCACAACTGCTTTCTTATCATGACATCTCTGTGCGGCGACATTGCATCAGGTATGCATGTTCTGGTGCTATAGTTTTTTGTTTGGGAGGGCAAATCCCACTAAATCTTTTTAATTAGTATATTCCAGCAGTAATAGAGAGTCTAACAATGTGGCAGAGAAAGTAGAGCGGTAAGCACTGTATTTCCCAGTAGATTGTTGGGTAGGAAATGTTAGCAGTTTAGCTATTAAAGACACTTTTGTTGAACATGTGCCTATATTGATTGTATGCTTTTGATATCCTTACACCATGAGATCACTTACATGCACCCAGAAGTCTACTGGTATATGTATGAGAGTAGCACTGAAATGGTAGAGATTGGAATCATTATGCCAGAATAGTGCTAAACTGAGAGAATGCCTCTAAGATGTCAGTTCACCAAGATGTAAGTGCACTGATGCCAGGTCAACACTGGTGGGGAAAAAAGTGATGCATGATACGTAACTCCAGCTACATTAATTGTGTAGCTGGAGTTGATGTACATTGCACTGATTTTTCTAAGGTGATCATCAGGAAAAATGCTCCTGTATTCTGAGGATTACCAGTGCTGATGGGGGCGCCCTCAGCATTTAATTTAGCAGGTCTTTACTAGACCCACAAAATCAAATCCTAGTGGATCAATCACCAGTGTCAGTTCTCCAGTAAGTGGAGATGTGGCCCTGGTGTAAGCAACAGTTCTTAAAAGGTGCAGTGTGTACTTCCCCAGTATTGGTCTTCATGCACTACTAGGTTTGTGTGAGAGCCAAGCCATACTTTCAACCCACCCAGCCATGTTCTCTGTGTGTTGTTCTGTAACACAGGTAGTGCTGGCCAATCTTCCAGTATTTAGACAGCAACTGCTTCTTCACAATGGTTGGTTGATCTTCCAAAGATATTCTACAGGAGACAAAGCGCTATCTGCACAATACTGAAAATTTCCTTATTCACCTCCACAGGGCAAACTACATTTTGTTCCTGTATATGTAACTATCTGAATAGGTGTTCATATAAAATGATTTTCCGTTAGGGAATGGATGTAAGGTGCTACGTACATCATATATTTTTCCTTGAGGGGCCAGGTTGTAGAGTTGAGGTTTTTTTTTAAGATAGAGGAACCATTTACGTGGATCATTTAAATAGGATTTAGGCCTTTAGCTGATGTTATATTGGTTTAATTATGTGTATCCTATTTAATTAACGCATGCTAAGAGTACCGTAATGAGAATTTTATAAATCTAAAATCAATAAATTAAATATTTTGTTTAGGTTGGTGGCAGAGGTTGAATCCAGGGCCATGAGGCACTTTTGAAATCCAACTGGGCACCTATCTATATATTTTAGACAACTGAGTAAATATCTTTAGAAGTCTGGTCCTAATCCATTAACTGTGAGTGGTAACAAACGGCTATCCGCTGAATATCAGCTGCACAGGGACACAGGCCCACTTGGCCAGCCTGCTGTGAATGCTTATCTCTGTAGCCAGAAAGGGGAGGTGCTCTGTTCAGTGTTGTCAGCTGCCTTTCCTCCAGAGATGTGATGTGAATTTTGCTTCTGTTTTTACTAGGCATGTCAATAAATTAGAGTTAACTCACACAACAGACTCAAAAAATTAATCATGGTTAAAAAATTAGTTGTGATTAATTGTTGTTGTACTTGCACTGCTAAACAATAAAATACCAGTTGAAATTCATTAAATATTTTTCTGTTTTCTACATTTTTATATATAACTCAGAATATAAAGTGTACAGTACTCACTTTGTATTATTTTTATTACAAATATTTGAACTGTAAAAATCATGAACAAAAGGTCTTTTTCAATTTAGTTCACACACATACTGTAGTGCAATCTCTCTTATCATTAAAGTTCAACTTACAAATGTAGACTGTTACATAATTGCATTCAGAAACAAAGTATAACACTTTAGAGCCTACAAATGCACTCAATCCTACTTCTTCAATTTGCAGAAGATAATGCCGCCTGCTTCTCACCTGAAAGTGAGAACAGACACTTTCATCACACTTTTATAGCTGGCATTCTAAGGTATTTACATAGCTAATATGCTAAACATTCATATCCCCTCTGAGCATCACTCACTATCCCAAAGGACATGCTTCCATGCTGATGATGCTCATTGAAAAAAATGTTAATTACATTTGTGACTACAGGCAGTCCCCGAGTTACGCGGATCTGACTTACGTCGGATCCGCTGTTACGAACGGGGATTTTCTTGCCCTGGAGGACTGGAGCGGCGGGACACCTGGTCCCGCCGCCCGCCTCCTCCGGGGCGAGAAAAGCTGCTCCCCCTCTCCCCGGTTTCCAATTACCCCATTACAAGTGTTATAGTGTAATCTCTATCATGAAAGTTGAATTTACAAACATAGAATTACATACAAAAAATAACTGCATTCAGAAATAAAACTATATAAACTTTAAAGCCTAAGAGTTCGCTCGGTCCTACTCCTTGTGCACTGGGACAAAGTTTGTTTATATCTGCAGGAAATAATGCTGCCCACTTCTTGTTTACAAAATGTCACCTGAAAGTAAAGTCAGGTGTTTGCATGGCATTTTTGTAGCCGAGCACTGCAAAACATTTTCGTGCTATACGGGCTAAAGATTTATATATCCCATCACTCGTCAACCACCATTTCAGAGGATGTGTGTACATGCTGCTAACAGGGGTCTGTTCAATAGTGATCCAAAATAGTGTGGACCAACACATGCTCATTTTCATCATCCGAGTCAGATGCCACCAGCAGAAGGTTGATTTTTGTTTTTGGTGGTTCAGGTTTTGTAATTTTCACATCAGAGTGTTGCCCTTTTTATAGACTTCTGAAAGCATGTTCCACATCTTGTCCCTCGGATTTTGGATGGCACTTCAGATTCTCCCCTGAGGAGATTACAGGCAGTCCCCGGGTTATGTACAAGATAAGAACAAACTTACAGTCCCTAAGTTGAATCTGTATGTAAGTCGGAACTGGCATCCAGATTCAGCCGCTGCTGAAACTGATCAGTTTCAGCAGCGGCTGAATCTGGATGCCAGTTCCGACTTACATACAGATTCAACTTAGGGACTGTAAGTTTGTTCTTATCTTGTACATAACCCGGGGACTGCCTGTAATCTCCTCAGGGGAGAATCTGAAGTGCCATCCAAAATCCGAGGGACAAGATGTGGAACATGCTTTCAGAAGTCTATAAAAAGGGCAACACTCTGATGTGAAAATTACAAAACCTGAACCACCAAAAACAAAAATCAACCTTCTGCTGGTGGCATCTGACTCGGATGATGAAAATGAGCATGTGTTGGTCCACACTATTTTGGATCACTATTGAACAGACCCCTGTTAGCAGCATGTACACACATCCTCTGAAATGGTGGTTGACGAGTGATGGGATATATAAATCTTTAGCCCGTATAGCACGAAAATGTTTTGCAGTGCTCGGCTACAAAAATGCCATGCAAACACCTGACTTTACTTTCAGGTGACATTTTGTAAACAAGAAGTGGGCAGCATTATTTCCTGCAGATATAAACAAACTTTGTCCCAGTGCACAAGGAGTAGGACCGAGCGAACTCTTAGGCTTTAAAGTTTATATAGTTTTATTTCTGAATGCAGTTATTTTTTGTATGTAATTCTATGTTTGTAAATTCAACTTTCATGATAGAGATTACACTATAACACTTGTAATGGGGTAATTGGAAAATATTATTTTTTTACAGTGCAAATATTTGTAATAAAAAATAAAGTGAACAGCGTATGCTTTCATATTCTGTGTAAGTGAAATAAAATTATTTGAAAATGTAGAAAACATCCAAAATATTTAAATAAATTGTATCCTGTTTAATATTGGGATTAATTGTGATTAAATTGTGTGATGTTTTAATCACTTGACAATTCTTGTTTTTATATAATTACCAGTTTGAATAAATTGAATTTTATCTCTAGCTATTAAATAATTGGAAAGGAGGAATTCAAGGAAGGAAAAGGAAAAACTGATTTATGATGACTATAGAGGCAACAAGCTAATACATTAATTTTGTTTCCTTGCATATTCTCAATAATTATGTAACTCATAAACTATGGCTATTTTACTGTAATGTTTTATGGTAATTATGTACTTTACTGGAATAATATTAATATCAAGGTTAATAGTCTCCAAAAAGTACAAAAAGAGCTCTTTAAAAAAACAGCATTTAAAAAGAAAGACATTTTTCTTCCATTGATAGTTTTATTGCAGTATTCATAACCTTACTAAAATTTAAAACTCAGTGGGAATTTTTGTAGTTAAAATGAACGAACTATTAATAAGCCAAACAAAATCCCAATTAGATACACCGTTTAAGACATTTTTATAGTAGCTTCTATCATTTGAATTTTAATGTTATGTTTGCGAATTACTGTAACATGAAGTGTGAGTGTGTAATGGAAAGTATTGATGTCTGGCCTCTGCTCTAAATCCTGTAGACATAACCATTGAAGAGAGTTTAGATAGTTGGTATGTCTGAGCTTTTTATGGAAGGCTGGGCAAAGGGAAAGGAGAACAAATGTTTATACAGACTGCACATTTTTTTAAATCTCAGATTACAGCCTCAAAGTAGAAAAGATCCAAGCATTATTGCTGAAGCAGCTCCAGTTTAGTTTCTAATTAGTTCACTGCTTTTCAGGCTTATGGTTGGTCTCAAAATTATCTATGAAGGAAAGAATGAATGCTAGGATTCAGCTGAGTGCTTTATATTAAGCATGTTGGGGTTGCTTTTGCTGAGAACGGCTTTATAAAACGTGACCTATCATTGCTGGAATATTTTTTTTAAAAAAATCTAAATCCATATTAACTTAGCCATTTATAATGAGGGCTTACTGTCATGAGCCAAAAAAAAAAAACCCCACCTTAACTCTTGGCTGTTATAAAGTCATATGCACGTCACATGGGACAAAGGTGGTGCTACTGTGGATATTTTTTTATTTCAATAGTCATCATTACCATTAAAAATAATCAGAAGGTTGCTGCTACTTCTAGTCCAACAAAATTAGCCAGGATAATATTTGAAAAATCAATACAAATTACAGATGGGAAATGGGCATGTTAAATTTTGATTAATCAACTAATCGAGGAGTTGATGGAATTTCTATCGACTACTCGATTAGTCAATAAAGGATGTGTGTGTGGGGGGGTATTCGCTATTCCTTCTGTGCCTCTGCCTTTTAAATGTAGTAAGAGCCACCTCCGCAAGTGGCTCTTACTACATTTAAAAGGCAGAAGTGCAGCGGGGACTCAAGCAGTATTGATAATATTGCTAGACAATATTAACCTCCTGTGGTTTGGCATATTATCTGGTTTGGCACTGATCAGGTCCCAAAGGTGCCACACTAGATAGGTTCTAGCTGTACTAGCATTTATGTTCATAAACAAATCTGTCTTGTTTTATTGTTGCCTAGTATGAATTTTGCTTGTATGTATAGGAAAAATGACCTCATTTAGTTTTCTTGCAAGTATCCATAAAAAGGGGGGGGGGAGGGGAATGATAGGGAACTACTTTTTCCTGAATAATTTAAAACTGACAGTGGAAGCTGAAATGAGTAAGTAATTAAAAATATATATGGTTTAGAGGATGTTCCAGCACTTGAGAGATGTTGGTGACAAATTGAACATAGTTTGTTGGGGTTTTTTTCTTCTATCTTGGGAGTAAGAAGTTTACTAGGTTCAATCTATTGTAGTTTGATGTAAAGTAGACTCAGATGACAGTAGGAAGTTGTACACACACAGTCAAATATATTTTCACATATATTTTCTCATTAACAGGAATGAACTGGAGCGCCAGTTTCTTGAGTTGTTGCAGTTCAACATTAATGTTCCCTCCAGTGTTTATGCCAAGTATTATTTTGACTTGCGTTCCCTGGCAGAAGCGAACAACCTGAGCTTTCCTTTGGAGCCTCTCAGCAGGGAAAGGGCATATAAACTTGAGGTAAGATGGTTTTCCTTCATGTTGGTGCAGAGCTGAAGAGACATCTTGGGGTGTTTGGTTATTCAAGCTGTCCGTGGTAGGAAATCAGAATCTCATGAACCCCAGAGTTTTATTACAAACATTCTGCAAGTTCTCTGTTTTGTGGCTGTATGAACAGTTTTTTGGCTGAGTGTTTGTGTGACATGGTTGGGGAAGACCGCACCCAGTGTAGGACAAGTGCGCCCATCTCCCTTGTGAGGTGTGCGTACAATTCCCTGACTCATTCTTACCAACCTGAGTCGATAAGCCCATTCTGGCATGTGACTGCATCCCCTACTGGTCAGAGTCAGTAAACTTTCCTTAATTGCAGGGTGGTGTGACCCACCAGCCCAAAGTCAGTAATTAAGCTTGCCCTGGTCTGTAGGGCAGTATGATCTGTGGCCACAGTCAATAAATTTGCCCCTTTTCACAGGCAGTGTGGCCCACTGGCCAAAGTTGGTTAGCTCACCCCCAAGTCATAAAGTATCATGGCCCAATAGCCAAAGTCCATAAACTCGCCCCCAATTCACAGGGCAGTATGGCCTAATGGCCAGACTCAGTAAGTTTGATCCAGTTTGTAGGGCAGTGTAGCTCGCTGGTTAGAGGTAGGACACAGGGGAGAGGGTTACATCCCCCAGCAGGGGACAGGGGAGGCGGTTCAGGCCCCCTCTCTCCACTGAACCTAAGCCCAGGGCCCTCTTCAGTGGCTTGAACTGCAGCTTCTGACTGAGTCAGTGGGGAAAAGCTCCAACCGAAACGAGCTGACTCCCAGCATCGTCTCACTCACCTGTTAGCCATTGCCATCTGTTGGGCTACTTCCTGCCTCCATCCTTCCTGCTGCGCTGCAGGTCTCCATCTTCCCTCACTGGTCTCAGGTGTGTTCACTCTTCGGTGCCTCCATGCTCCATGTGGCTTCTGGGAGCTTCTCACCTTAAGCCTGGGTTGCAGTGTCTTCGCACCTGGGTTCTTGCTGTACCTTGCCCAGAGCAGGCTGTGCACGTTCTCTCCCTCTGGCTATCAGCCCCGACTGGGCTGAGCTGTTCCTTTTTATACCTGTGCCGCTAGACTATGCCCAATAAAGCGGGCATACAGTGCAGGGATAACACTCTTGCCCAATGCGGGGTGAGTGCACCCCATCACAGTTCACTTGTTATGTAATGTTATTTTCAACTCTGGTAGGCTGGTTTCAATACAGTGAAGTATGTACCAATGGCCCCACCTCTACAATGTTAATGGTTATCTTAACTGGCTATCAGAAAATACCCGCAAGTTTTGCATACGTTTTAGATTGACCTTTGGTTGTCTAACAGAGCTGATCTTTGACCAGTTTTTGCTTGCATAAGACCCGTTTTCATTCTCAATATATATAATAGTTGGGATACTGACAAGTTGTCTTGAAAATTCCGATTCCATATGCATCTGCCTCATTCTCCTTACTCTGACACCAGTGTTACTCCGTTGATTTAAATGCAGTTACTCCTTATTCTATTAGTGGGAGTAGGGTTGGTTTTTCAAACCTTATGAAAAATTCTGACAGGACCTGATTTTATAAGAATACTTGAATGTGTAATGGGATCTGATCCTATAAGGTGCTGAGTACCCTGAATTGTTATTGATATTTAGGGACATCATACTAGTTCAGTATTTTGCAGGAGTATCTTTTGAAACTTTGATTTTAAGGTTTTAATATAAGATTGACATAATTACATGAGATGTACATGTTGCTGCTAATTTGAAATCTACCCTTGATTGCTGACAAGTCTTAACTTCCCTTTAAGAATGCTACTGCTTTACACCTGATACTCTTCATTCAAGCATCTCAAAACTTTCTATGCATCAACACTCGCAGTGTTTCTGAGAGAAATTTAGACATTACTATCCATGTTTTTCAAGAAGGAAAAACAGAGACATGAAAAGGTCAATTGATTTGTCCAGGCCATATGAGAAAATAATAGATGGACTAGGAATCATGGTGGTTGAAAAGTGGTGGGGAAAGAATTCTTGGAAACTTTAGCAAAATTTCTTTTGTTTCCATTTTAAAAAACTGTTTACAAAAAAAAAAGTCCAAGCCAGCTCCAGCTAACAATACAACTCAGTCCCCTAGATTTAGTAATTTTGGGTGAGTCAGCAAAACACTCTGCCCAATTCTTGTCCATGATCCTAGTGCAACACTCAGCGCCACACTAAGGATTTTGGAAAAAGTTTGTGAGAATTGTTTGGGGTGCATCTTCAAATTAACAGATGTATTTTATATAAATGCTTTATTATCTGTATTACCGAATTGTCTACAGACCAAACAAACACAGGATCATGTTGTAGAATCGTAGGATACTAGAACTGAATGGACCTTGAGAGATCATCAAGTCCAATCCCCTGCCCTCATGGCAGGACAAGCATGGTCTATATCCGAGCTACTCAACTTTGGAAGCCTGAGGGCCCAAATGATTCTCACAGGACACGCTGAGGGTCCCAACTTAAGTATGATTGCATATCCATGAATACAAAGACTAAGGCAAGACTACACAACACACAGGCCCCATTTAAGTCAGTTCTGCTGATATTAATAAAATGCAATATTTACCCAATTTCCACCCATGTGTCAGCACTTTTAAAGAGCAATGACAGTCCAGGAATTTAACTACTAAAATGCATATCAACAGAAGACCGTTATATTTGCTACATTTTTGTTTTGGCTCCCACCTGCAGGATGCGTGTTGAGCCCCGCGTGAACCTAAACCACACTGCAGGCTGCAAACAAATAGGTTGGAGGCCGCATGTTGAGTAGCCGTGGCCTATATTATCCCTGATAGATATCTGTTTAACCTGCTCCTAAATATCTCCAGTGATGGAGAATCCATAACCTCCCTAGATAATTTATTCTATTGTTTAACTAACCTGACAGGAATTTTTTCCTAATGTCCAACCAACCCATTGCTTCTTGTCCTATCATCAGAGGAGGAGAATTATTTCCCCCTCTCCTCCCTGTGACACCCTTTTAGATACCTGAAAACTGCTATCATGTCCCCTCTGTCTTCTCTTTTCCAAACTAAACAAGCCCAGTTCCTTCAACCTTGCCTCGTAGCTCATGTTTTCTAGATCTTAAATCATTTTTGTAGCTCTTCTCTGGACCTTCTCCAGTTTCTTCACATCTTTCTAGAAATGTGGTGGCTAGAACTGGATATAGTATTCCAATTGAGGCCTAATCAGCACAGAGTAGAGTGGAAGAATGACTTCGTGCCTTGCTCTCAACACCCCTGTTAATGCATCCCAGAATCATGTTTGCTTTTTTTTTCCCAACAGCATCACATTGTTGACTACTATTTAGCTTGTGGTCTACTATGACCCTTAGATCCTTTTCTGCAGTACTCCTTCCTAGGCAGTCACTTCCCATTCTGTATGTATGAAATGGGTTGTTCGTTCCTAAGTGGAGTACTTTGTATTTGTCCTTATTAAACTTACTCTTATTTACCTCAGACCATTTCTCCAGTTTGTCCAGATCATTTTGAATTATGACCCTACCCTCCAAAGCATTTACAACTCCTCCCAGCTTGGTATCATCTGCAAACTTAATAATCATACTCTCTCTGCCATCATCTAAATCATTTATGAAGATATTAAACACAACCGGTCCCAAAACAGACCCCTGTTGAACCCCACTTGTTATGCCCTTCCAGCCTGACTGTGAACCATTAATTACTCGCTGAGAATGGTTATCCAGCCAGTTATGCACCCACCTTATAGTAGCCCCATCTAAGTTGTATTTGCCTAGTTTATTGATAAGAAGGTTATGAAAGACCATATCCAATCCCTTACTAAAGTTTAGGTATACCATATCCACTGCTTCTCCCTTATCCACAAGACTTGTTATCCTATCACTTTGCATAGAGTAGTACACTGTCTGCTCTGAAGAGCTAAACAGTCCAGATATTCTTGAGAGAGTGCGAGAGAGCAAGGGATGTATCATACAAAGAATGATGTCTTGTACAGCCCCTCTCCCCCCAGCATCCTGTCGCAGAAGTGGAGGATAGCTACTAGTTGCTTTCAGCTAGTGATACATTTGTTTGTGTTCAGGAAGATGGATAGAAAGTCTTCTTTTTTTTTTTAAATAGGCAAAGAATCTTCTTCCTATTCTCCAGATTAAGGAGGGCCCTTTGTCACTAGCTTCTTTAGTGTTTGTCTGCTTTTTGGATGAGAAAAGGTGACTAACAAATATATAATGTTCTTTTTTAAAATTTATTTTCCTCAAACATCCTTGCAGAGCACTGGTTTTTGGTTTTGTCTGTGTGTGTGCTGGGGGGGATTATGAAGTGACCGCATCTTCATGGCTTCATCCCAAGTAGGTGGCAGCAGAGCCTTGGAGCATTGGAAGTATTTCTTCTCTGTACAGCGCAATGATTTGCAGCTCAAAATTGCACTGGCAGCTTTATTTGTTTTTCCTGCCAATGACAAAATCTTGCTCAGAATCATAAACCTTGATTTAAGGAACTATTTTCCAAGTGTGTACATTTATAACACTGGAGAGATTGTTTCTGGCTGTTCATGTGCATTACAGCCAGGCCCAATAAAGCACTGTCTGTTACCTTGTAAATCATGTGACAGTGTTACAGAGCTCTTTTTTACAGTCCTGAACCAGGTTAGTAGTTTTGATTGCACCACTAAAGCCATCTGTTTGAATACATAATCCTATTACAAAAACCTGACATTAAAAGATAATAGAAAATGAATGTTTTCTAGATGGGGATTGAATTTCTTAAAATAACAGAAATACAACTGCAAATCCTAGGAGGTTATGGAATTAACACATAAAATTAACCCTTAATATTTTAATCTCTGAATCTATATTGGAAATTCTTATCTGATCCCATTTTTAAAATTTATTTCCGAATGTAACTTAAATGTTACAAAGCATCAATTAGTCTGAAGGTTATAGATTTCCCTGATACCTCCATAAAATCAGAATTAACTTTGCTAGTGTATAGAATAGATTACATGTGAAATGCCTCATCTAAACAAAGTTGTTTCCTTTCGGAGGCAGCAGCGCAGCAAGGCCGAAGCAGGAGCCGATATGCACGGGGACCTCACTTTAATCTGGCTCTCTGGGCTTGCCAGCTCCATGGAGCTTCCTGCCCTCCTTTCTGCCTTTCACAGAGGCAGCAGCATGTGGGAGCCGATGCTTAAAAGCCGGGTCCCCAGCAACACCAGCTCTCATGGAGCACCTGCCCCCCACTCCTGCGCTGCTGCCTCTGATGAGAGGCAGCAGCGTGGAGGGTTGGTGGGCAGGCACGAGAGAGTACATGCGGGAAGCCGGCTTTCAAGCAGGCTCCCTGTCTGTATCTGGTCCCACTAAGCCCCCTGCCATTCCCCCTCCCTGCATGGTTGCCTCTTCCAGGGAGCCAGTGCTCAGGGGGAGCTGGCTTAAAAGCCGGGTCCCCATCAGCACCAGCTTCTGCAGAGCCCCCTGCGCTAATACCTCTTTATCAGAGGTAGTGGAGGGAGCAGACGGAAGCCGGTGCTTGGAAGGAGCCAACTTTTAAGCTGGTTCCCCATGAGCATCAGCTCCTGCCTACCCTCCCTCCCCCAGTGTAAATGTGGAACTGCTAAGAAATCCACTGGCTACCCATTTACACAAATAGGGGGTCAGAGAGGGCAGAACAGGAAGCCTAGCGCTTGACCCAGCTGGGCTGCCTGGGGGTGCTAGGAAGTCCAGTGCAGCCTGCTCAGAGGGGCCAGAAATTACCTCCCTGGTCCAGCGAAACCCCTCATCTGGGACCAGTCAGTTTCTGAGGGTGCCAGAGCAGGGAGGTCCAACTTGTATTTCTTTTTTGAACCACAAGTGGGCTGTGCCCCCTGTTCACTGTGCTAGTGAATCTCTCCCCCCCCCC